AATGGATTACAAAAACTGCAGAAGCATGTGGGGGGTGGTTTTTTCTCAAACGATTAAATGCTATTAATTCTTCTCTGCGTTACAACAACAAGCGTATAGTAAATAACGGTCTATAAAAAAGAGATATGTATAACCTTATTAGAATTCCATTGTATTCATTATAGTTTAACTATTTAGTAAATTTGATGTAATTGCCAACTTACTTGTGTTTTGGAGTCAGGACGTGCCCACCAGAATTCTCCTGAACGGCGAAGTTCGGCGATTTTTTCATTCAATTTGTGAGCCAAAACAACAGTTAAAGGCATGCATTCTTCTGTTTCATCGGTGGCATATCCAAACATAATACCCTGAATAATTTAAAAATAAATTATAATATATTTTAAATTTTCTGTTATTACTAATAATAAAGCAATAAACGTGATAATCAGTTAGTGTGTAACGTAAATATACAATATAATTAAAACCAAAGCATAACAACAATATATAAATAAAAAAATAATAATAATAATAAAAGCAACAAATAAATGCAAGCAAATGTTTACATAAAAAAAAAAAAAAAAACAAAGACGGATTAGTAAAAGTTTCATACTAAAACTGCTGTAATTTCACCGATTTGAAAAAATAATTATTCGATAAATTTGGACCAAGTCGCAGAACCAAAAATTTTCTATGATATATACAATTATTATTTTCGATTAATTTAAAAATGTTAATTTTTTTATACATAAAGATATATAAAAATAGAAAAATAGAAATTAAATGAAGTGACATATTGTTTAAATACACAAACACCCAGGAGAGCAAGACTTTAATCATATATATTAAATCAAATGAACTACAATGAATGTTTCATTTAACAAGTTCCAGAACATTTTCATCAACATTGAAGAAGTTGCTAGCGCCATCACTTAATAGATTACAATATCAAAAGGTATCATTGTCAATATGATTGCGAGACTGAAAAAAAGTCACCTGAAATATCACAAACAATTATACGTTTTTCATTTGCGACTATTAGGAGAGACGGCGTTAGAATATTTTTGGATATGTTCTGCAACCTCTTTATGCTAGTTTATTAACAAATATAATGTGCGTATTATATCAATCTAAAAGATTGATCTTACTCGTATACTTTGCAGTAACCTCAGAGCGCTATGAAAGATTGGGGAATTCAGTTTAAGAATTTCTGAGGATTCCAAAATATACAGTTTGCCGTTCTAAATAATTTTGACTTAGTCTTGCTAAGTTTGCTTAGAGAGTTAAGCAATTTTGACAAAATTATGTGCAGTATGCAATATGCATTTTAAGATTGAGTAGTGTATGTTGGTGGATAGCATAAAAGAGGCAGCCAGCCAAGCCAAGTTTTTATTATTTTTACAAACATAAAAGTGCTAAATATGTACAATAACAAATATTAAAATTTACATTTAACTGAATTAAAAACAAAAAAAGAAAGAAAGAAAATGGTTATAGTACTAGAAAAACATTTTGCGGGCTTAGCATTCTAATTTGAGTTTTATGTGTTCTTCTTCCCAACCTGATCTCCGGCACCGATTTCTTCTTCGGCACGATTTTCATGCACTCCAGCTGCGATTTCGGGCGATTGTTGGTCCAATGCTAATAAAACGTTGCACGTTTTATAGTCAAAACCTTTTTTTAATTATTATTTCATTCATATGCATACGATTTAGTATGATGTTTTAAATTTGTTTGAATTATGAAAAGAAAGAGAAAATGCAAAACAAATAAAATAAAATTAGACAATAATTAACGCTATATAAATGAATTAGTATATTTATGAGAGATATTTCAAAATTGTCTTAAAA